ATGACGACAATGTTCCCCTCAAATGCCAAATGTTGGTCTCTTGCCCTCGCTCCTCTTCCTCTCACTTACTCATCATTCTCTTGATCTCCGTCAATATCGGTATTTTCTGTTTGTGTCTCCCACCTGCTGACATCCACCTCATATGCACTTGTCTTGGCCTTTCATTTCTTCAACACTCCACCTTCTACCCTGACATACTTCTCTGATATTACTCATCAGTTCCTCTCTCCGGCTCCTCCTCCGTCTGCAGACATGACGGCGCATGCCCCAGCTGCCCCCGCAGTCTGACACAAGTTGCCAGTTGCCGCCACGGTTGCCCTGTGACACCGGAAGGAGGGGCTGGATGGCGTGAGAGAAGGGGGAGGGGAGGAGGGGGGTTGCATAAGGTACTGCAAACATCAGGCTGACCGGAGAGTTAGCCCCAATGGCCATTGAGTCACGTGACGCGCTGCGGCACACATGGCAAAACACGCGCAGAGGACGGGACGTGTGTGTGTGTGTTGTGTATGGATGACATCCCATAAAGCCTACGGCGGCAGATGAGTGCAGTGGAGAGAGGGCTTGTGATGGCAGCGGCTCTTTTGTTGGTCGGACAGAAGAGAAAAGAAAGCCGCTCGTTGTTAAACACATGCCTGCATCGGTTTATTCATCAGCTTTAAGTGTGTTTTTCTTTTAAATATAGAGTCCAATATGCACCGACATTCTTTCTTCTGTAGCGTTTGAAGCACCCTGGCCAGACGTTACTCAGCGTCAGACAGAAATACTGACGCACTCGGATCTGAGCAATGGGCCAAACACGACTGAATCATTCCCTCATTATCTGGGGGATATTGGATCTAAAGGAAGAGGTGGAGGGGGCAGGAAAGAATAAATATGGTGTAGGAGAGCAAGAAAGAGCTAGAGACAAAAGGATGATGCATAGGGACTGCTTGTCGATGAAAGAGTTGGGCTTTATTGTGAATGAATAGAAGGATGAAACAGCCGGTCGTGAGCAGTTTGCTTAGTCCTGGGTAGCAGCTGGCATCATGCCTGCTTAATGGAGCAACGGATGATGAACAGTTGAGGATCGCACAATACTACCACTACCCGATACCACATGGTGAATCACCTGGAAGGTTCTGTCCACCAAACGCTCCCTCTCAAGGGCCAGCTCATGTTGAGTCACGCTTCTTGGGATAATAATGGAAACAAACGGAGGATACCAATGCCTCTGCAATGTGGCCTGTGATGACATATGACTGCATTGATGTATTAGCCTCCTTAAAGCAGCACTTATAAATATTTTAACATGAGACATTTTTCAAAAGACTACTGTACTGTTGGATGAGGAAAGGGTTGTTACGATCAGACAGAGATTTTTGAACACCCTTTTTTTAAATATGTATGAAACCTCATGCTAGTTGCTTTTGCATTGCTGAGACCTGAACACCTCCAGTTGTAAAAAAAATAAACTCAGAGTGGAAAAGAACCCAACGTCATTGCCGTTTTCCCCCTTAGTCCAATCAGATGAACTGAAATGTGGGCTGTCTGTAGAGGCTGTTGTTAGATACCCTGAACTACTTTACTAACTGTAGTTACCATGGTCTAGACAGGAACATAATGTACCAGGCCAAAGGGCTTGAGATGTTGGCTAACCCTAACCCTTGCTTTCATGAATTCAAAGCATTATCTATTGGTTAGCGTACAGTTAGTGATGGTCTTACATTAGCACTCATTTGGTGGTCGTCCTGGCTGATCTAAGTCGGACAACAATAAAAAGGCAGTGTACGAAACAAGAAAAGCGTCACTCATGGTATGTTTTGCATTCTGCTAACATGCTCTCTCTAAAATGGGCCTGACTTTGTTAACCCTTTGTGCAGCTTTCAACGAATTGTTTTTGTTTCCTGTAAATTTGCCATTGTGTCGCAAAGCTCTTATCAACCTTATTTCCAGATGTATGGGCAACGATTGTTGGACAAAAAACCTTTTGTTAGGGACAAACAAAGTTAGCAACTAGATGATAAACATTCTAGAAAATGTAGCAGCTGACAAACCAGAAGTAGGAGGAGACCAAAACCAGAGCCAAAAGGGGAGTGATATCGGATACACATTGGTAAGTAAGCCAGAAAGATGACAAGAAATAACAAAATGAGGTAAATAATTGTACAGCAATACAAGCATACAAAAATACAGGCTGGATAGCTGTAGCTATTATGCCCCGACTATCTGGAACAATCTACCAGAAACCTGCAACTCTTACTACTTTCAAATCCAGACTGAAAACTCATATTTTCTCCGCTGCTTTTGATTGAGGTGCAGTATGGCTTGTATCCATGTATTCTATACCTGTTGTGTTTATTTTTTTTATTATCTTTGCTTTTTAATGCCCGTTTTTAAATGCCATTTTATAATGTGTTTCTGCTGTATTTCTTTGTAAATTAATTTTAATTTATTTTTGTAAAGCACTTTGAATTGCCGTGTGCTGAAAGGTGCAATATAAATAAACTTGCATTGCCTAACAGGAAGTGTGTACAAAAGCTGTATAATACATAGGATATGTTCTCCTTATAATTCAATTGGAAGTGCCATTGGTGGATGGGTGAGGAGGCTCAGGCAGGGATTGGTTCTTGTGGAATTTACCACATCACTATGTGCATACAAATTCAGAAGATGAACTACTTTCTTCCCCCTGCTACTTGGTATGGACTACACCACCAGTTAGAGTCAAAAACAAACAAGTAGGCCTGGCAAATAAAGTATGTGTACAGTTCTTATAACTCTGTGTTCACACATTCATATTTAATCATTACTCTGATGCAACTACTAGCTCCGGCGAAAAGCTTCAATAATTCTGTTGCAGTCGAGAACTGAGTACCAATGCATCTTTTCACATTGCAAAAAGAAAACATGAATAGCTTGAAATAAATTAACAATACGGATATGTTAATAGTACTCTTTGTGCTTGTGGTGTGTTTAATGGCAACCACAGACTGAAAGAAAAACCTAGCCTAAGAAACACTAAGATGTTAATGATGACAGGTACATTTGAAAGAAGTCAAAGCTCAGGTTGTGCATATCTATTTATTCACACAGCCGCAAGCAACAATAAAGGCATGGCTGGGTCGGTGCTTCTAATGTATGCACTGTATTTGTGTCTGTGAGAGAAAGTGTCAAAGCAGTTTGAGCGTGGTCTAGAGATGCATTAGCCAATCTGGTAATGACTGGGGGAACAGCAGCATGAGTGGTAACATAAAACAATGCAGACAAGGTGACTTTCTCTAACAGGCTTGCTTGTGTGCTTCTGTGTGTGCGTAGCCTCAAAGCAAGAGGAAGTAAGAGAATGTATATAGTGGTCCGATGGAAATGCAATGCATGTTTGAAGGTGCTCATCTGAGCATGGCGGCACATCAAAAGACTTACTGGCTTTTGACAAAATTGAGAAGGTTGTGATGGAAGGAGAAAAACAGCCAGAGGGATGACGAAAGGCAGGTTTGAGAAAATGATTTGGATAGAAATGGAAATTAGTAGAATGACTAATATAAATAGTTGGGTTCAACTCATTTATTAAACACTATCCTTGCTTCCATAGATGTATTTGTATGCGCATTTGAAAAATCACATTAGTAAAGCTGTATTTAAACAGCAGAATGGACACAATTTCCTTAAATCCATAATAAAGTTTTATGTTATGTTAAGGTGGTTTCTGAATTTGTCGAAAACAAGTTTCTTTTGTTGCCGAACCACTACTGAAAAATGTAACTACTGTAGCAATCATAGAATTCATTTGTCTTTTAGTCCAGACAGCATGAAACATGGACGATACTATTTGACATTAAAGAACTAATAAAACATGCTTTAAAAAGTAAACTGGTATTGGGGACACAGTTTATAGTTGTGGTCATTACTGTGGATCTTGGTGTATTTAGAGTTTTTAACACGGAAGCTACTTATTAATGTGTGTCATGAGATTGTGTTGTCGATTGAAATACAAGTAATGAATTGGTTGATATCTGAGCAAAGCTAGAAACATCTATCAGTTCCTTCACAGGATAAAACACGCACAATCAATTAGTGTCCACAGAGTTAGATTTCAACATTTGATATGATCCGTCTGATATTTTCTGGCAGTGTTCCAATCATCTAAGGCACATTAGTCCTGTAATAACAACATAACTGACCTTCCTTTTAACACTGTAACACAGCTTTCTGAGGACCACAATACTCTCCAAAATGATTTTATAACACCAAGGTAGAATCTCTTATGGTGACAACATGATGTGTTCTTTCCTCTTTTCCATACTGCAGCTACTACACTAAGACACACACTTGCCCCCAGTTTGGGAAAAACCTAACGCCATTTCTGAGCCTGCTGCTAAACTGCAGGAATACATGTAAGTTGTTTTCAGCACCAAAGGGCCATCAGTTCTCCCTTTATTATCCTTACTGTACTTGCTGCAGAATAAGTAATGGCGAGCAAAATAGTAAATAACGGGGTACTTAATACTTTTTCTGGCTCTACTGACAAGCTCGAAGGGCCAGCGAATGCATTATAAATGTCCCGAAACAACAACGCTTATTCCTATTTCATCATAAGCAAATATTTCTTCCAGAATGCGGTCCATCGGGAGGCGTTTCAGCGGCACACTCAAGCCTTATGCTGCAAATTACATGTGACAGAAGCAATTTTGGGATATTTTCTTCACACACAAAGTGCAGTAAGTGTTATGAATTAGATTAAGTGGGGGAATATTGAAAGTCGGATACTTCCGCTGCCAACTCAGCATCTTTAACTGATAATGCAATTTTGTTTTACTCTCAATTGCCTTCTTTTTCAGGAAAAGTGTGCTGATCATTTTTATGCCGTATCACAAACAGCTGCACTTGCTGAGTGAATACTAGGAGAATGTATGTGGGTGGCTGCACATGTATGCATGACAACAGTTTGAAAAATGCAGGTATAATAATGCAATGTGACAACCCACATTGTATACTAGTCATGTAATGAAACGTGTCTATCCTACCTCTTTGAGGCAGCCCATGAAGTTGTTGCTAACAGGAGATCCGGGCAGATCCGCAGTGCTGGGGCTCCCCCCCACGTAGAAGAAATCATCGGAGCCCAGCATGGTGTAGTCTTCCTGGGTGTAGCCAGTGGTTGTGAGGATGCCATCCACGGAGATAGTCACCTGTTGAGGGGCAACACATAGCCAAAGCCATGCCATTACACTCTGGTATTCGATCTTGTGATGTGTATAAAACAAACCACCTTCCTTGGTCTGCATTCGAAATAGTTTCTTTAGGTCCCACACTGTTGGTTGCTTTCTCATTGAACTGTTTTTTGTTTTTTTTACGGAATCCTTTGGTACCTTTCAGCGATTGTTTTGGACCAGACAGTGTTTGGATTTTGTTAATGGAATTTTTGCCATAGGATTCACAGGACAGGTAAAGAAAATATGGCCCAGGCATATTTTCTTTATCTTTGATGGGGGTAAGAGAATGGATTGTAGGTTTGGTTCGTAAACTTTAGGTTGGGGGGAGGGTTAGTACAATGTTCAAACCAAGGACAAATTGACTACACTTGTCTTAGGTTTCGGGGTTTATCTGCTAAATGCAGACACACATGTATACTGTACACACATAGGTGGGCACACACTCATACGTACACACTTTCACTCTCACACCATCCGTCTCACTTTCGCCAATCACTCGCAGACATCTACATCTATATATTCACGCACATGCAAACGAAGGGAGGCTTTTCACACCATCAATGTGCAAACCAAGGTCATCACCATTAGAAGGCAAATTAACCACATTTAATTGGACATGTAAGGGAGTAAGTGGATCAATGGTGCCAGGCAAAGCTGGGGGCAGGCCACACAGACTCCGAGACTCATGCGCAATCAAGACCAGAGCCCGTATTCAAACACACTCTCAGAACAGCTGATCTGGGATCAGGTTTAGCTCAGGTGTCATGGCTGTGTTTTCAATGTCACAGGAGCAGACCGATAATCCTAGATCAGTATGCTTATTCTTAGAAATGTTATGAATATGGGCCCAGGGGTAACGGGGGATCAAGGTTAGCTAAAACACAACAACACCACTTTCACTAGCATGCTACAAAACACACACAGGGGATGTGGGGGGGGTTGAGTGATAGGTGGAAGGTGAGTGAATTAGAGTGTTAGTGGTTATTTGGATGACAGGGTTGAGGTTAAATGAATTTGGGAGGTGAAGGGTAAATGAATTGTGGGCATGCCATGCGCCATAGTGAGTTGGAAACAACTGTCAGAGCTCCCGCAATGAAGGTAAAGGGTTGCCATTTTTTGGTCTCTTTTAGGGCTCGGTGTCGAGGTCCCATCATTGGGATTGTGGCAAGCTTCTGTCAGTTCTGGACGACAGTCCTCACAAAAAATGGGGACTTTTTGTGCAACATTTTTTTGATAAAAAGTTAGTCGCCTTGACTAAGGCAAAGAAATTCAATTTTGTTTTACTTGTTGGAAATCTGCAGTAATGTGGAAGAAACAGAGAAAAAAAAAGTAAAAGCCAAAGTGAAAAAAACATTATGGGGGATTGTGGGGTAAAGAAGAAGGCTGTTGGCAGGTCAGGGAGGAAATTGAGAAGAAGCGAAGAAAGAATTGCCTGGTAATACAAACCCATCTCCTCATTTTTTGATAAGAGTGTCTAGGATGAAACTCAAAGAGAACGAATAAAAGAAGAGAGGGGGAGGGGACACACGGCAAACCCAAAAAAAAGACAATAAGAATGATATCTACCAGACAATGTAGTTTGTTTACCATAGCGTGTCCAATGCCTGATTGCTTTCCAGAAAAAGGGGAAGAAAGGAAATCAAAAGAATAGTGAACAAAAAAGGTTGTTAATAAGGATGGACAGAAAACTAAAACCAAAAGCAATGATGAAGAATTAGGATGTTAGTTAGTACATTAGTTGGTTAGATATTTGTTAGTAGTAAAAAAAATGACTTTTATCATGGATGAGTTAGTGTTACGGTGAAAAAACACTACATGGCTTGTCAGAGATTTGCTGTAATGAAGTGCCAGCTTGCCATCCTAGCCACATTTTCTACACCAGAGTCCTGCGAAAAGAAAATGTAGAGGGGTTCTGAAAGATGTGAAGGTAAAAATGTGTGTAGGATGGCTTAAACCCCGACAAAACTTGTAGTGTTTTATTCACCCTTAGTCTAACAAAGATAGAGAGAGAAAGACAGATTAGTAGACGGAAAGAGAGAGAAAGCAGCCCATTGCTTCTTAGCTTCTAAAAAGTGTGTGTTATCCTGTTGGAATGTTCAGCTACCTATTTACTAACCTGAGAGGCAAAAGCCTACTGTCAGGGAGGGTCAGGAAAATCGGCACTTACTTGTTGTGCTGCTCTGAGAGCAACGCTAAATGTTGTCTCACCTTGCACACTAAAGGTTGGAACCGAGACACGTCCAGACCTCCATACAGCCCTGGCTCTCATTAATTATCCTCTCTTTCTACTTTCTAGCACTGATTTCTTCACCCGACTGCAGTACAAGCTCATTTAAAATCACATTCAGTAAACAATATATGTCAAGTAACAGATTATGTTCATGTACGACAGATGTACATATTTGCTGGAAATGTATTTCCATCTTTAAAAAACTTCATCTGAGCTATAAATACTTCATTAATGGACGGCTCAAAGGCAAACACTCTCTGAAGGCTTTAAAGTGAGAGTCTATATTCCCCACCAGCATAAGAACAGTTTCTGAAAGCAGAAAAGATAGCGACTGCGCCTGATGGAAGTGTCAGCTTAAGGGAGAGTGAAGCAAAATAGAATCATCCGATAACTTTAATTATAGGAGAGAGGGAACTCACGTTCGATAAGCCGATGAACAGGAGAGGAGAAAACACCTAGAATAATGGAACCTCGACTAAGCTATCAATCACATGCGGAACAACTGCTTTGCCCTGTTTTCAAACTGTTCATTTGTGGAGAAGAAGTTGATCAATGGAATTAAATTAAATAGAATGTAATTGTAAAAACCAAAAGTATAATGACACATCTATCTCAATAATGTATCTGAACTGTGGCAATGGAATGGCAACCAATCAGAAGTAGGTGACATTCTTAAACGCCAGCTCTCTCTTAAAGCTCCTGGAAGCAGGTGATCTAAAGCGGGGGAAAAGTCCACCTGTCTCCAACCTCCGTCCATCACTGCTACCCCCGATTACCTGTCTCAGGTTGCGTGTCACTTTGATGTCGTGCCAGCCGTTGTCATTGAATTTCCCATTGACCGGCTCCACGATGGCCTCAAAGGCCCCGGAGCCCAGATTGATGACGAGGGAGACGGCGCCATCTTTTAGCGCCAGGTTGACATAGTCTGCGGATTTCCCCGTGTGGAGGAGCAGGCCGTTGCGTTGCCAGGTCTTGAAGGACAACGTGATCTCGTCGCTGCTGCTCTGGATGGGGTTCTGGGACAGGTCGTAGCAGAAGTACTCCGAGCCGCGGAAGGTGGCCACGTTCTCCTCCCTCGCTGAAACGACAAGGGTAGAAATGAAATGTTACTTTTAGGAGTCGAATACTTTTTAATGACGATCAGAAGTAAGCCTTTTTTTCAGCACTAACATTCACCAACTAAGCTTGCTGTACTTGCTATGTTTACGCAAAAAAAACAATGTCACGAGTCAAATGCACCATACTAATACCCCCAAACAGTCAATTATGACAATCCTTAATCACACTTACTTTAATGTTTAAAGGTCAAATGTGCGATAATATATTGCAATCTTGTGGTGAGACCGCAAATTGCAATCAACTGAAAACCCTTCCCTTTCCAAGCTCATAGATAATACTATGGTGGCCTTCAGGTTACGTAAAAAAAAGCTTTAACGGTCCCCTACTGTTTTTCATCAATATATTATAGGTCTCAGATACATACAAAACATGTCTCTGAAGTGTTTGGCTACAAATACCAAGATACCAGATTGTGCATTGCAGCATTACCCATAATCCCCTCTGTTTCAGCCCTGTTTCAAAAGTGCTGATTCTCTGTCTGTTACTTTAGATGAAAATAAGGAGCCCCTCCCCACGCCCCTCTGAGAGAGATTTGATTACAAAGAACACAATGGTGCTCTAGGAGGAGATTCAGGTGATAAGGTGGGGGGGGGGGGTTACCTTGGTTGGTGATTGGCTAATGGTTACACAAGACAAAAAAAGTGGCCAAAATCTGATCAGCTCATTTTCAGACAGGTTTTAATATAAATGGATCAGGAGAGAAAGTGAGCAAACCTTTTTTCCTGGAACTTTCAGAATCTCTTTACACAGAGGGGACACATGTTTCTAAAAGACATGAAAAAGTGGATTTTGCATACTAGGTGACCTTTAAAAGCCTTTGAGAAATGATGCCAATACTATAACGAATGATATATGTTTTAAAGTTATTCATTCTGTCGTTGAAAAATACGTTGAAAAGATAGGGTGTGATTTTTTAAGAGGATATGTACCACACAATCCTTTTTCAGTTACTTTGTAGAACACGTTTTTAGCATGGTACTTCTCTTAAACAACACGATACTTATTCAAACTTATATTTCACATAATATGCCTTGCGATTTAGATATTGCACTAGTCTGTATTGCGATTGTGATCCTTTGGGGACTGTGGAAACATGGTGGTGCAACATGGCAAACTCCGTGAAAGAGGACCTATGAAGATATTATGGGTTCATTTTAAGCTTAAAAAACCCCAAGAGTCTTCCTTTCAGGTGATTATACAGTAATAAAAAACATAGTAATGCATATTATATTCCATGTCTGCCAATAAATCCCACTAATTGCTACACTCTGGACCTTTTGAAACGTGAAACGAGCCAAACACCGGTGCCGGTCCCCACATCAATCATGAAGCAGTCTCAGTAAATATGAGAGCCACTGTATACCGCAGAGAAGCAAACACACTCACACACACACACACAATGCACAGCTCGCTATAATCACAGCTATGATAATCCCCTCATTCTGTTCAGATCATAAAGTCCTATCTGTATGACCGTGGATTTAGGTTTCACGTACAGCCCCTAGACAGACAGACTACTTATGATGGAACACTATTCCCCGCTAATGGTGCGCATAAATCAAACTTAGCCCGGTTTTTACAGTTTTATATCACACCGCTGTTGCCAAGTGACTTCCTGGGCCCATTTTCTTTGGTCTGACACGGTAGTAAGGTGAGACAGCTCCAGACAGAAAGCGAGGGGATGGATGGGCGACTGCGAGGGCAACACTAAAATTGATGGGCTGGGGAAAGAAAAGACTACACAAGAAAGAAAGTGAATCACAGGAGTAGTGTTTCCTTACGATCCGTGATGGAATAATTGACACCTCTCCTGATGCCTCTTAGAAGGTGGTTTGACACGCTCAAGGTCAAGAAGTTGATGTCAATTGTTATACATTAGGTTTGAAATGTCTTAACAACTCAAGAGGAGGGTTAGAAGGTTCCGACCTCCGAGAACACGGTGTTCAAGGCAGAAATTGAAGCCTTCTGAAAAATACGCCCGGACCACGCACTGCTGTGACACTTGGTAACAGTAGCTATGCCATTACCTGGCATAATTCATTTGTATTTCCTCTTTATTTTATTTTGTCTGCTCACTGAAAAGTCAGGAGCAGAAAGAAAAAAAAAGGCAGAGGGATAAGAAAGCAAAAGAGAGAAAAGCATTGGGGCTGCAGGCTGTAAAGCTTCAGTTAGCTGTTTCGGATCCGGCTATATGTAAACATGAGGGAGCAGTGTTGTGGAGCTGGCAGAAAGATACAGAAGGAGGGGAGGAACATTCGAATATTGAGAGAGAAACAAAAGGGGAAGTGAAGAGGGGCTGCGGGATGATGGGGTGTTGATTCCGGTCATGGAGAAATTCTCCCCACGGCGTCAAACTCATGTCTCTGCGCAGCACGGAGACAAGAGGAAATAGTATGGGAGGCAACAAAAGGCCCTGTGAAAAGCCCTCATCCATGTGCCAGGGGAATAAATAGAAACCCATTATTACCACTGAGACAGCGCAACACAGAATGGCAGCAGAATAGAAAGAAAAAAACTCCATCTTCACCGATTTCATGCATCTAATCTAAGAATTTGCACAGGCGTTCACTGCATAAGAAGCCTGGATATTTTGTATCCCTATAATATTGCTCCTGCAAAGTTGTCAAAACAAAATGATAGTGCAGTGAATAGCAAAGAATACAGTAAGCGGAAAGTCATTCATTTATTCGTAGATATTTAAATATAAATATGCAATGTTCACCAATGTACATAATAAAATGCAAGCTGCCTCCAATTGGCTTTAGGGGTAAAACCTGTGGGGCCCCTTACTCAGAGAGAGTCCTTGAGACAGTTACGACCCGAGACACTGGGGGGCCTTCTTTGAAATATTGCCGGGAGGGCCCTTGCATATGCCTGATGGTGGGTAAATATGGGTGAAATAGTACCTGTTTGAGAAGGATTGATGGTTTAGGAGATTTACTTATTTAACTTTTCTCTGCATCTTTGGAGTCATTTCACTTTTGAAAACTGATTCTGTAAGACGTTATCCTCTGTCTATTTTGCTAAGCTTTCTCTGTAGGTGTGCAGCATGGTGATCATTCAGATCTCCGCCAGACACATGATCCTGTCTGCTCCCTCCTGACCTAAGATAGAAAGGTTATTGTCATGGCAACTCCCCTCATCTACCTGGCATATATGTTTATATGAGGATATGCCACTCAGATTGCAACACAGGATTAAGGCCTTCACAGGGATTCCAGGTCACATTATTATTAAAAGACACCAAAAACCAATGCTTGGTGTGGTAAATGCTGGAGCCAGAGTCAAAGAGCAATGACCTATGTTCATTTGTACATTCATACTATTTTGTTATCAAATTGTCCTAAGCTTTTCTTTGTTTCTAAGTTCGCTGTGGCAAATGCCAATGCTACATGTATGATGATGAACATGGTCTATTTGATCAGTATTCTCGACCTTGAAATACTGCATTTACATTTTAGAAAGAAGGAGCTTCAATGTTTATTGGATGACTCGCAATGTACGATATGTTTATTGATATTTCTGTTTCATGTTATATTAAACTTAATATATTTGTTTTTTGGACACAAATTAAATAACTTTGATAGATCACCTTGGACTTGAGAAACTAGAACATTCTTAACCTTTTTTTTGTATTATCTATCGATTAATTTAGAATGTATTAAATGCAAAAAGTTGTTAGTTGCATCCCCCTAGCCTATAAGTTATATGGCATAACATATTGATAATAAAGTAAAAGGCATGTTTGCTTTCCAATGCTGTTTGTGTATTAATTATAATGATGTAATGTAAAAGTGGCTGTGAAGCTGCAAAGACTATCAATAAACCATTGTTGCTATGAATAATAGAGAGAGGAAGCAAATTGATATAATGCAATAGTTGTGCACCTCAGCAATATTAAACCTGGTAAGTGTATACGGATCCATAAAAACCAGGGGAAATGTATTGCCCGTTGAGACATGTTCTGCACAGATCCGTGGCTTTCAAATCGATCATATAGCGGGCTCATTTTCCCTTATTTTCACCTTAGTCATCAATATTCCATTTGCATGCTGCCTTCGATTTAAAAAATCCACTGGAAGCAATTAGCTCCTTCATTACCATCTTCCATTCTCTTCCCCCCTAGACACACCCATGCAGCCCGAGCTCGCTCTCCAGTCTGACCCCATGGGCCGTGGAGCAGGGAGCGCCGTCACCTTACAGTGAAAGCACCACGACCTTCAACCTCCTTTAAGATCATGATATCATACTGTACTTAATCACTGTGGGAGGCGAGAGACTTAAAAGCATGTGGAGGGTAATAAGATGAGTTTAATGATAGGATTAGAGACAGGACGCCTTGTGATTATTGTAGCAAAACACTGACTTTAGCTGCACATAGAAGCTATGTGGGCAACCAACACTAGTGCTAGTTCCGGGGAGACTTTATCTCTGGTGAAGTGAACTCAATCTGTGCTGACATCCAGCACATCAAATGCATGTTTGCACTACATTTGCAGACAAACAAGCCCGCAGTTCCAGACCTAAACATAGAAAGCTTAGTTCTGCTTTTAGCTATTGTTGTCTGTCGTTCAAGGTTGCGATGTCACCACCACACAATGCTTTAACAACATCTGAAAAGCCTCTTCTCACCCTCTCACGATATGTCATTTCTATTCTCTCTTCCTACACCCCTAAAGGAAGAAATTAGCATATTTTGCTAATAAGAGTTAAAGCAGTGTGGTTAGCCTGACACAGCCAAACATGAACAATGGGCTTCACTGCCTCCCAACACGAGGCTAACGCTAACATGCAACTTTGCGACTTTAAGCTCGATGGTGAGCCAGCATGTCAAATAAATGCGGAGCATCATGGGTGATGTCTCTCTTCACTATCAGAATTGTTTTTATTAGAAGGAGATGTGTATATTTTTCTGGCCAATAACTACACGTGTACTGCGGCCCCAATTAGGGTTAGGGT